TAATGATCGTTTGGTTGTATTGATGATGCACTTAGTGGATCCGTATTTTCCCCGCTCCCCATACCATCCCAATTCCCCATTCCATCCTAATTCCCCATGTCATCCCATTTCCCCATACGTGTAAAAACACGTCAAAAGACGTTTCTTCATTGTGCTGTGATATATTGCAATTATTTTTATTGCTCGTGCCCATCAGTTGTTATATATTTACCGACTATGCCGCTACCCATCTTGAGACATGAGTTCTATACTCTCAGTTTTACAGTAGCTGCCTCGCTCTTCAAAACGAAACGCATAACTGCTTCACGGCAGGAATGGGCAGCGTGGTACCTACCCGGGCGGGCTCATAGGGCGCCTTACCACAAGTCAACCCTTCTTGCAGCTTACAGCAATGTCTGAACATAATTTTTTTTCCACAAGCTAGTTATTCTTATGAGTTTTTCAACCCTAACCAATCTAGATAAAACCCTTCGAAACGCTATGTGATACCGATCTATTGATATGCGAATTCAAGAAATCCTTCTACAGGCTACGTTTACGTACATACTAGCAATTGGCAAAAACTTGCTTTATCAGGATTCTCTTCGTCTCAGTCCTTTATCAGAACCAATGCTACCAAACGAAGAGATGATGTTTATACAGTTTCTGTTACACAATCTATCGTCTGGCTCACAAATCGTTACGTTTCAGCTTCTTTTTTAAGAAATATTTCTTTGTATATATATTTAGTTTGAATTCTACTTTGAAAACGCCTGAGATTTTATAATAGCAAAAACGGGTCTTTGAAACAAGAAAAAAAGATAAAAAATGTACTCTTTGCCGGTCCACACTAGTGAGTATAATTTATAATGTATAATTTTATTATAATTAATGTTATTAAACGCGCAATAACATTAAAATAATTTCAAAAAAGTTAATTTTCATTTAATTTCAATAATACATATGCATTCGTTCGGTGCATTCAACGCAACATGAACAGTAACTATTGTGTTCATTTAAAAAAGTTTAATTGAAAAAGTGTATTTGAACATATAAATCGATTAAATGTAATTAAAATAAGTATCGAATTCTTTTTTTAGAGCCTTCTTTATCGTTAAATAAAAATGTTTTAAAAAAATATCAAGGAATTGCTACTTGAAGTCCTTAGCGTTTATCTCAAAGCAATATTGTATCCAAATAATAGTGGTTGCGTCTCGAGGGAAAGCGTCTTGCTCCAAACTAGGTACGTTTGTATCCCCATTTCCGACCGTCAATAGCGTAGAGACGTGACGAGGGATACGCTTTATCATCCTGTATTCCCAGTAATTCCCGTTCAAATGATACTTTAAGATCCTGAATTGGGTAAACCACTTACGGAATCCTGTGCCCAAAAATCAATTGTCGAAACTCTTATGTACACTAAACTTGGGTTGTTTTTTAAGAGTATTATAACAGATGTTAAAAAAGTGTTGACCTTTTGGTTTTGATAAATGTATTATAAGTTAACGTGTAGGTCATATTATATACATATCGTTTAATGAGGATAATTCCAAGAAGTCGTTTCATACAAAAATTATGAATGTAATCAGAAATAAACAGTCGTCATTGATTGTATCATTGCCCTTTGTATTGCGGAAATAATTATGATCCTAATGATATTACAATGTTATTACTACTTTCTTCGTTGTTTTCTGATACATTTTACTAGTTTATGATGAAGTATAATTCACTAGAAAATCTGGAAAATGTTATGGATTGCGTAGTTCCGTCTTTGTTAAGATTTAATTTTCTTTTTGTTACCAACTCAATTAAACAAAGATCTTCCATGCCTGCCGTCGCAAAAATGTTTATTTTAAAACTACTTACTTTAATGGAATCTATTAGCTGTACTCGGAAAAATCTCTTCCATTTCTCCCCGACATTGTGAGATTCAATTTTGGAACAAACTAAAAAAAGGAAATCTAATTTTTAGATTTCAGCAGTAAAAATCGTGTGCTTGTTTTTATAACAGAAATAAAGAAGTAAATATATTTCTTAAAACTTTCATATGTCTAGAAACAGAAAAACGGTTGAAGAGTTCTTTTTGTCGCCTCGTTGCTCAAACGGTTAGTGTTCCAGTATTCCAGTACCACGGGATAGAGGTTCGACTCTAGTGATTTTTTCTCTACCTAATTGCTATTAGCTAAGGAGCTATTTCTGCTGCTCACGGGCTGGTGGCTGAGTTGGTTGTTGATGGTTTCATCCTAAAAGAGTTTGATAACATGATCTTAGCAATGGCAGTGTTTCGCAAAACTTACCACCGACCAACTGAGAAGATCCGACGGGAACTCAGCGGAAAGAAAATCTTAGGTGCCGTCAAATGTGGATTTTTACTTTAACCTATTCACATACTATTAGAAAAGTTGCTATGAATGTGTATTTTGTTAGAAAGACTTGCTTGTATTTCTTTGTTTTAACAACAAAAAAATATTCGTTCTTTCTGTCAACTTTTCCAGAAAGTGATAATTTTGTCTGACTTTAGTCCCTCAAGTGATCTCTACGTCTTTATTTGATTAGATTACGCGCTGACTGCAACGTCGCGTTGGCGACAATCCACACTGGAAAAAGCAATTTTGGTGCAAACACATTGGAAAAAGCAATTTTGGTGATTAAAATTAAATTATTGTTTAAATCTTTAAAAAAATTTATTATTTCTACTTAAATCAGTTAAAGTAATATATAATAACAGAGACTTTAGATATAAATTATGTCGCATGGACGTATGACTTTGATTTCAAACACCATTTTATTTGACCACTATTTCCAGAACGGAAATTTTGGTTTTAAAACATGAATAACCTATCTAACATCTAATTCTAATGTAATATTTTAGCTTTATTTGGTAAATCGCAAGTAAAATTTACTTGAATAGAATCGACTTCAAAAATTTTTTAACAATCAGCTGTAAAGACATAAAAATACTAATAGATTACCTTCCTTCAATCTTTCAACCCCAAAAACGCAAAGAAAGGATCTCTAATTTATAATGAATAATTAATTACTTTAGACCATTAACTTTCCAATCTTATTGGGCTAAAGTTCTTATGATTTTGTACTAATTGGGAGATTTTAGGGGAAGATTAAGATAGGAAAAGCCTTTAATTTGAAGGTGTTCGTTTATTCCTACAGTGATAAGATCTTAGTGACGATTTGTTTGCAAGGTGGGTGACGAATTCGTAGTGTTACGTTGTGGTGTCCATGGTCTCCATTCAAGCATGAATCCATAGCTTTTTCGTGTCGTAAATAAGTGCCGACTCTCTATAATACCCACCACTAAATAGCCTAGGACATGCTGGTTATCAAAGCTTAATGATTGTAAAAAAATATTATGTCTGTCTACAATTACAGTCTATACATACTCCCATTCTCATTTCTCACTGGTGGTAGGACCTCTTGGGAGTTCGCACGGGTAGGTACCACCACCTCGCCTATTTCCCGCCGTGAAGCAGCGATGCGTTTCGGTTCGAAGGGTGGGGTAGCCATTGTAACTATACTGAGACCTTAGAACTTATATCTCAAGGTGGGTGGCGCATTTACGTTGTAGATGTCTATGGGCTCCAGTAACCACTTAACACCAGGTTGGCTGTGAGCTCGTCCACCCATCTAAGCAATAAATTTAAAAAAAATTAAAAACTAAAACGTATTTTTTTAATACATTTGTTTATTTGCAGGCAGATAACGAGGCATTGAACTTAGTTTGTCATCTAGGTAAACCTTTCGAGATTGTGGTGATAGTGTAAATAGATAGCACATTTCCAATGTTCTTGAGTGTTCCTGAATGAAGTGGAACCGAACATTTTTTTTACCTGTTTCGATATCTTTTTTTAGATTTCGATGATCTTTCCTTACTGTAAAGGGAAGATTTTTTATTCTCTTAAAATTATTTTGAGTTCGATTGAGGTATCCAATTGTGGCGTACAGATACAGGCGTCACTTGGACTTGTTTGAAATGTGAGTTGTGTGATTTTAGAAGTTTTAAACCATTACTACATATTTTAGGGTTTATTATTATGTTATAAACGAAAATCACATTTTTTTGTCAGTCAACTACATATGTGTATTTAAATGACGCTCACTTTCTCTCTTACCTCACTCAATTGAAATACTCAATCGTATGACAATTTTTTCAAAACGATATCGGCCCTTGAATTGTCTGGGTTTCAATTTTGTAATTAACATAAATGAACTCTTCAGAAATAAATGTGAGGGCATATTATGTGACTGTTCATGCTTTTATATTATTTTACAGCCTATTTTTCTGAAAAGGTAATCACGATTTGGTTTTATTACTTTATGTCCCAATCAGGATGTATTTATATTTACTTATTTATTGCGTTTATGTTTTGATCCCTATAGCTTTCAGAAAAAGCTAATTTTATTTCAGCTACATACACCTGAAATCGTCGTGGCCTAAAGGATAAGACTGGTGTATTCGTGTTGAGCGATGCACCAGTGTTCGAATCCAATCGGTTCGGTACCAATTTTTCTAATGAAATACGTACTCAACAAATGTTCTCGATTGACTTCCATGGTGAAGGAATAACATCGTGTAATAAAAATCAAACCCGCAAATTTTAATTTGCGTAATTACTGGTGGTAGGACCTCTTGTGAGTCCGCGCGGGTAGATACCACCACCCTGCCTATTTCTGCCGTGAAGCAGTAATGCGTATCGGTTTGAATGGTGGGGCAGCCGTTATAACTATACTGAGACCTTAGAACTTATATCTCAAGGTGGGTGGCGCATTTACGTCGTAGATGTCTATGGGCTCCAGTAACCACTTAACACCAAGTGGCCTGTGAGCTCGTCCACCCATCTAAGCAATAAAAAATAAATAAAAATATAGCTAATCCAGAAAATGCTATCTAAGTTTTACCGTCAACAGCAAAACATCTCAGGTAAGTTTTTCCGCTTTTTTATGTTCTGTTGTATTTCTTTTGGTGTTCTTTCGTAAAAAATAAATAAAATGCTTAGAAAGGGACTTTATCTTTAATCTATATTGCTTTCTTACTAACTATTTAAAATAACTACCAGTCTTTTTTAACCCTATTTAATAAAAATAGTTTTAGTTTATTAAAATCTTGAAATTTCATTCTCTCTTGCTAGTTCTTCTTTGTTTGTTACATTCGCTGATAAAGCAATGTTTTTCTTTCGCGCTAAAATGTAGATCATGCTGAAAATAAAGAAAGGATTTCCGAATAACAATTACGAAATTAATGGGTTTCCTAATTTACTTCACTTCTTTTGAAATATTATATTAAAGATCAATTATGATGTTATTACTAATCATGTTGTATAGCTATAGAATCTTGATTTTTAATTCAAAAATATTTACAAATAAAATTACTCATATTATTTTGCTTTACAATTTTAAAACTAACCAAATCAATAGTTATTTCTAAATCAATAGTGCATCAACTGTCGATGCTACTTCTTGTTTAGATTTAACAGTCTGTACTGGTGGTAAGTAGGGTGCATTGTGAATCAGTATGGGTAAGGACTCATTTTTGAGCTACTTTCTGCCGTGATGCAGTTACGTCCTGTTCGAAGGCAAAGATAGTCGTTATACAATACGATTGAGATTTCGACTTCACGTCTCACGGTGGCTATACTTAAGATAAAATGTCTGTGGGCCCCGGTAACGAAAGAAATTAATCGGCGGACTATCTGTAAAAAAGGTCGTATTAAAAGGCGCTTTTAAAAACTTGAATTGCGAAACTTTGGTCACGTCTTTTGTAGTTTACCATATCGTGTTCTAATATGAGCAGACAAGCTGACGGCTATCCATCTTGAGGCATAAAGTTAAGGCATAGTTACTTTGGTACATTACATCATCTGTTTTACTCTCTAAGCTGGTACGCCTGACCACTTTAACTTCTTATATATGAGATTCTTAATTTATTTACATACGTAACAAGAAGAAGAAATAATTTGAAACTAGTAGAGCATTATATGCTTTTTCTTGCCGTTAACGTCTAAATTTAAATTAACAAAATAATTTTAAAGTAGGTACTTACCCGAATAGACATAGAGCTACAACAGTTAAGGCTGCATCAAACAAGTAAAATGCACCCGGAAATGTTTCTATAGTAGACATGTAGATATAGCTAGAAGCCGGCATGTATATTGATGGAGCCAATGATTCCGTGACGCCTATAAGTGCACTCAGCTTGGCTAAAAAGTAAATAATTATACAATAAGGCATCGAAAATTTTGTTTATAGAAACAAGAATTTTTTTCATTGCTGAATACGAAAACTCACCAACTTCTTCTGTAGGAACGCTCTTAGTAGCTATTGACCTGATTGCTGTCAGACCAGTAAAACTGAAGATGTTGAATAGAGGAGCGGAATAGAACCATTGTCTGGTCGGAGCAAGGGCGAACATGAGGCATCCTGCTATCCTGCTCACTCCCGCTAAAGCGCCTATAATGCTGTCTTGGACATTCATTCGTTTGCTGAGCACTAATATACAAAATATGGTTCCTGGGGAAAGAAATTATTAATTCACCAATGCTGACAATTTTGTTTCTAGTTCGGCAAGTCATGTCCTATCAACCGGTCGATAAAACCAAATTATCTGTTTCAATAACAAGTTATTAATATAAAACTGTTATTCATTATTTATACGTATAATGTATTCTAAGATTTAATTGGACTTTATCAAAAAGCTATTTGATAAAAGTATGTCGTCACCAATCCATTAATAGATTGAAATCAGATGTTTACGAGGAAAAAACTGCATAACATAATAAATAAGTACAGTCATTTTTAGATGACTAACTTATTTTCGACGCAAATACTCCTTTAAGCATTGTGATTTGAAATTGGATGAAACGAAAAAGTGACACTAAATGAGACAAACATATGTATGCAAATATATGGTTTATCATGAGAATGAATGAGTTATTTAATATTACTAATAGTTTGGCTTCTAAAGCTTAATGAACTGCGCGTGATATTTTTGATAAAGTTAAATATTACATAAAAATGTACATATATATTTATTATATATAAAGGTATAAAGTAAGTAAACGAAATAAGGACAACGAAAATAATCGAAAGCGTTTCAATGTTTCCAACTGCCGGTCGTCTCATAAAACCGCTTTCTTAAAACATGTTAAACAAAGTAAGTTACCGCCAAAACTTTTCGGGTAAATAATCGAAAACGCGGGCGACCGGCTACAACAAAGTTCAGCTTGCGATAAAACTAATCAATGAATTTAATGAGTCTCGTGATTGTACTCCCCAAATACGTTTAGATAAGACATATGGATGATATACTGATGACTGTGTTGTTAACGTAAGAACCTTGACCTAGGTTGATAAAGTAAGTTGCTCAATCCATCAGTTTCTTAGTAAATTTTGAATGCAATTATTTTTAATGAAGGTCACATTGAGAACTGATCAAGATCACGGTAGTAATTAAATTCCCCGATCACCATCGAAACTAAATGTAAATGTTTTTGTAAACCAGTTTCTGATTCAGAGAAAAGATATTATTTTTGCTTTAGAAAGCCTCTTTCGATTGTATGTTGAGGATATTTTTTTTTTAGTTTACAAAATTCGAGTTGAATATAAAATATTACAATCGGATATTAAGTTAGTTGTTTATTTAGCGAAACGATGTTTATCGTAAATTCTACGGATTCGTAAAGTAAATATTATTATAACGTGTAAATTTTTTTTTTTTATTTTAAAACAAAAACATGACTAATTTATTAATTTAACAAAAAATATTATAACCACTAATAATACCGCCATTATACTTTTGTATTATAATTGCTTCGATGATGTATTGTTTTTTTTTTGTGGTGTAATAGATTGTATTCTACTCTCATAATGAACCAGATACAGATCCTTCTAGAATAGAATGCCTTCTAGTATAGAATGATTAACAGTGTCCATTATAACCAAATAGACAGAATTGTGATATAGCACCGAGAGAACGCTATTGCCTATTTTTCGGAAAATCCTTTAATCGCCTATCACGATATCGACTCAAAGAGATAGGCTGGTGCTATTCAAGTACACTATAAACATATTTGTATGTTTCGTAATTACGAAAATCAGTATCCGAACAACTCGATTATTGCGCAGCTGTTGTTAAAATGAAGGAAATATTTTTGCCAGAGAAACTTCAATTCTTTAGGTAAAACGTGAATAGTTTCAAAAGGCAGCTTACACTTGGTGTTTCATATATTTAACTATACGACGGAACGTGGCCGGTTTCACTTGCTTGCTATGCTATTTAAAATTATATTTTATGTATACAAAACATTTTATTTTTCTTATTGTGCATTCTGGTAGCGTGATCGCACTAATGCAAATGATGTTTCAATGCTACGCCTCAATGTAAAACAAAGAAGGAAAATACCAGTGGTATTGTTTAAAAATTATTTAATAATTTTTTTTTTTTCATATGGTTACCGGAGACCATAGACATCACAACGTAAATGTCACTATACACCTTGAGACGTGAGGTTTAAGTTTCGATTTTAAGCGCAACGGGGTAAAAACAGACCGTTTCTACATTTTCGACACATATTCGAGAAAGTGACTTAATGTGGTTGAACAACTCTTTGTTTATTGGCGTAAATATAAGTTCTTATTTCATATCCCTATGTCGGAGCTCTTAGATAGTACAAAGTAAAAGCGGTTGCCCAATATGATACCTCAGTTATATAGGAAAACTCGTAACTCGTTATTCTGTTGCGCCATTTTGAGAAGACGGCACGACATGAGAACCCTCTCATCGTGGCCGTTGGAAACTACATACCCGACCCAGTAGACCGAATGGTAAACCGTCGACGTCACCCAAAGCACGTCATTACGGATCCTCCTGATCCATTAACGGTGTTTTTAGGCACTACAAGCACCGGTCACCGTCCTCGTCGAACCTGTCGCTTGCGACGAAGGGCTCGACGAGCGAACTAACCCATAGACACAGCCCACTGAGTTTCTCGCCAGATCTTCTCAGTGGGTCGCGTTTCCGATCCGGTGGTAGATTCTGCGAAGCACTGCTCTTGCTAGGATCAGTGTTAGCAACTCTCCGGTTTGAGCCCCGTGAGCTCACCTACAAACGTTAGGGCGAAGCTGAAATAGCCTCTCAAGGCTATCAGCATAGGTAGGAAAAAAAAGCTGTTCTGAAGGCACATAACATACTAAAAATAAGTAGGTGATCTGAAATAATGGCGCCAAAAATATTCCCAATTCACTTAATTTTAAAGTGCTTTAGATAGGAACTAGGTGAAAATAGAGGATTTTATATAAGATCATAATATATAAAGACAGAAGTAGTAAACGGTATTATTACGGGCAGATTGTCAGTAGCGATAGTAGTTTAATGTTTTAGTGTATTTTGAAACTGACACGTCTGGCTTCTGGCGTGATTTGTTTCCTGTACTAATCTAGAAGGTTTTTAGTAAAAAAAATTCTCAAATAAAATCGAGAAATAAAATTAACAATTAAGAAATATCGCTTTAAAAACCGTGCAGTTTTACTACTCAGAAAGATCCATAATTGTTTATAATCCTATTGAAATATACGAATCCTACTTAGAACTTATATCTCAAGGTGTGTGGCGCATTTACGTTGTAGATGTTTATGGGTTCCAGTAACCACTTAACACCAGGTGGGCTGTGAGCTCGTCCACATATCTAGGCAATAAAAAAATAAAAATAAAAACTTACTTTTTTGCTTAGATGGGACGGCCCACCTGGTGTTAAGTGGTTACCGGATTACGTACATCAAAAACGTAAATTCCGTCACCCATCTCGAGACATGAGTTCTAAGGTTTCAGTTTTTACTTTTGTCTTACTTATTTACCATTACTTTTTTTTTATTGCTTAGATGGGAGGAAGAGCTTATAGCTACCAGGTGTTACTGGAGCCCATAGACATCTACAACGTAAATGCCGCCACCCAGTTCTAAGGTCTCAGTATAGTTACAACGGCTGGCCCACCCTTCGAACCGAAACGCATCACTGCTTCACGGCAGAAATAGGCAGGGTGGTGGTACCCACACGCGCGGACTCACAAGAGGTCCTACAACCAGTATGTAAGGATCCTACCCTAGTTAACTAGTAGAATGAACTAGTGACGTCAACAATATGAATTTAATGAAAAGTGAAACAAAACGAGTAATACAGTTAATATCGACCTTGAGAAAATATTTATTAATACTGTCCCGTGTGTTTGAGGAAAAAGAAGTTGGGAACTACGTACTTTTTTTTGAGACACGACATTGAGTGTGGTTTTCGCCTTATCTATGTAAAGTTATTCAAATTAACAAAACCGCCGGATTATCATTCGAATAGTTCTATTGTAGGTTTAAACAAATAAATATAAACGAATATTGTGTTTCGTCTCGAGTTTCGGCGATCTGAACTAGAGTTATTATCTATATATTAATACGTGAAGCAAAAACTTTGTACCCCTTTTTACGAAAATTGCGCGGACGGAGTAGTATGAAATTTCTCACACTTATAGAGAATATAGAGAAAGAGTGCATTCCGATAGAGGCACCCGTCACGTGCGGTCGTGCTCATCGTCCACTCGATCGCCCGGTCTTTGTTCGCCCGGCTTTTGTTAGCCCGGCCATTGTTCGCGCGGCCTGTGTTCGTGATACATCTGCCGACCAAGTGTGTTTCCTGGAAGCTTTTATTTGTTTTGTTTTAGTTATTTTTGTGTTCGTGGAACATTTGCCGACAAAGTGGTTTCCTGCAAGTATTTATTTGTNGCGACGAAAGGCTCGACGAGTAAATTAACTCTCAGACACAGCCCACTGAGTTTCTCGCCGGATCTTCTCAGTGGGTCGCGTTTCCGATCCGGTGGTAGATTCTGCGAAGCACGACTCTTGCTAGGGTTCGTGTTAGCAACGTCATCAGGTTTGAGCCCCGTGAGCTCACCTACTAGCCACGGTTACGCTGAAATAGCCCCTAAGGCTAGCAGCTTAGGTAGGAAAAAAAAAAGACTCGAAGAGATAGGTTGGTGCTATTCAAGTACACTATAAACATAATATTTGTATGTTTCGTAATTACGAAAATCAGTATCCGAACAACTCGACTATTGCGCAGTTGTTGTTAAAATTAAGGAAATATTTTTGCCAGAGAAACTTCAATTCTTTAGGTAAAACGTGAATAGTTTCAAAAGGCAGCTTACACTTAGTGTTTCATGTATTTAGCTATACAAACGGGGCCGGGTTTCACTTGCTTGCTATGCTATTTAAAATTGTATTTTATGTATACAAAACATTTTATTTTTGTTATTGTGCATTCTGGTAGCGTGATCACACTAATGCAAATGATGTTTCAATGCTACGCCTCAAGGTAAAACAAAGAAGGAAAATACCAGTAATATTGTTTAAAAATTATATAATATATATTTTTTTTTCATAGTGGTTACCGGAGACCATAGACATCACGACGTAAATGTCACTATACACCTTGAGACGTGAGGCTAAGTTTCGATTTTAAACGCAACGGGGTAAAAACCGAACGTTTCTACTTTTTATATTTCGACCAAATGACTTAATGTGATTGAACAACTCTTTGTTTATTGGCGTAAATATAAGTTCTTATTTCATATTCCTATGTCGGAGCTCTTAGATAGTACAAAGTAAAAGCGGTTGCCCAATATGATACCTAAGTTATATAGGAAAACTCGTAACTCGTTATTCTGTTGCGCCATTTTGAGAAGGCGGCACGACATGCGGCACCGGTCACCGTCCTCGTCGAACCCGTCGCTTGCGATGAAGGGCTCGACGAGCGAACTAACCCATAGACTTTTTTACTGGTCGTAGGACCTCTTGTGAGTCCGCACGGGTAGGTACCTATGCTATGGGCCTTCAGAACAGCTTTTTTTCCCCCTACCTATGCTGATAGCCTTGAGAGGCTATTTCAGCTTCGCCCTAACGTTTGTAGGTGAGCTCACGGGGCTCAAACCGGAGAGTTGCTAATACTGACCCTAGCAAGAGCAGTGCTTCGCAGAATCTACCACCGGATCGGAAACGCGACCCACTGAGAAGATCTGGCGAGAAACTCAGTGGGCTGTCTTTTTTTTATTGCCTAGATATGTGGACGAGCTCACAGCCCATCTGGTGTTAAGTGGTTACTGGAACCCATAGACATCTACAATGTAAATGCGCCACACACCTTGAGATATAAGTTCTAAGGTCTCAATATAGTTACAACGGCTGCCCCACCCTTCGAACCGAAACGCATTACTGCTTCACGGCAGAAATAGGCAGGGTGGTGGTACCCACACGCGCGGACTCACAAGAGGTCCTACAACCAGTATGTAAGGATCCTACCCTAGTTAACTAGTAGAATGAACTAGTGACGTCAACAATATGAATTTAATGAAAAGTGAAACAAAACGAGTAATACAGTTAATATCGACCTTGAGAAAATATTTATTAATACTGTCCCGTGTGTTTGAGGAAAAACAAGTTGGGAACTACGTACTTTTTTTTAGACACGACATTGAGTGTGGTTTTCGCCTTATCTATGTAAAGTTATTCAAATTAACAAAACCGCCGGATTATCATTCGAATAGTTCCATTGTAGGTTTAAACAAATAAATATAAACGAATATTGTGTTTCGTCTCGAGTTTCGGCGATCTGAACTAGAGTTATTATCTATATATTAATACGTGAAGCAAAAACTTTGTACACCTTTTTACGAAAATTGTGCGTACGGAGTAGTATGAAATTTCTCACACTTATAGAGAATATAGAAAAGGAGTGCACAATGCTGATATTTTTTTAAATTATGCCTAAAAAATACATTAAATCAATAAAAAAAACATTACACTCACTACCATGTATTTGAGGCACACAGACATGCATACTATTTATTATTGTCAAACTTTTGTTCTTGACGTCTATGGTCAAATTGAGAATAGATTAAATATTGTTTGTCTTTATTAATATTTTTCTATAGTGTAGTCTTGGCGAAATTTGTGATTATAGAATAGTCTTTGAAAATAGAATCATAATAGTGAGCAAACTTTTAATTTCAATTAATTATAGTCGAATTTCGACTACCGGGCGACCACTTGTTTTACTAAATTTAACTGAGTCTTGATATTCATTTATTTCTTTATTTATTAGACGTTCAAGACAAATGGGTTGCTATAAAGCAATTGGAGATTGGAGCTACTAACGTGAATGCTCTCCTCTAAATAAACTATCACGTCTGAAGGATCTGACGGGAATTATGACAGCTTTGCAGTACAAATGTCGGTATCTACCTGCGTGCTCATACGTCATTAGTCCAGATTATTATTGTGGTTTTAGAATTGAATTTAATTTTCAGTTTCACGCTGCAGAATTATCTGTTGACCCCGTCATTGGCACGGTTTTAGCGTAATCCCGCACAAACCTGTCTCAGAGTTTGACCGACGTGCGGTCTCGCTTCCAGCTCCTAAATGGGTCGTTGCAGCCTACGTTAATAATGGAACTGATAGAAGGTGTTTTCGTTCGTACCCTGCTGCATTTAGAGACCAAAATTCAAACAAACGAATACGCTCAAATCTACATAGCATATCATGTGTACGTAAACCCGCCCGTATATAATAAATAACAACCCCTAGACACAGCCCACTGAGTTTCTCGCCGGATCTTCTCAGTGGGTCGCGTTTCCGATCCGGTGGTAGATTCTGTGAAGCACTGCTCTTGCTAGGGTCAGTGTTAGCATCACTCCGGTTTGAGCCCCGTGAGCTCACCTATTAGTTAAGGTTACGCTGAAATAGCCTCTCAAGGCTATTAGCTTAGGAAGGAAAAAAATATATAATAATTTTTTCATTGCATAGACGGGTGTATGTGACCCAGCTGATGTTATGAGGTTGCCGGAACCTACAGGAGTCTTAGGTCTTCGGATTATTCGGTCATCCTATTAATCCAGGTGCAGTCGGCTTGCCAACGATTTTAATTAGTTATAGGTCATAAAGATATTGACAGCGAAGTTTTAATCCGTGGCGGTAGATAAAGGCATGGATGTGCCCCTGAATTCGCGAATGTCAACGAATGATGTAATCGCATACCATTAGATGGATACCTACGTCTTCTTTCGAAGGCAAAAAAAGTCGTAAATCTAAGTTGAGAATTTTGTTGAATTACTAAAACTTTAATGACACGGTCGTTTTAATCATTTTCTTTGCATCGCAATAAAACTGACCAGACCCGTCCAAGTCCAAGAACCTTTATGAAGGTTTTCGATCTGAGAAATAAAGTAAAAGAAAAAATATTACGAAATTCTCACCCAAAAGACCGACGACGATATTAATTGTCCCATAAATACTGTATTCCACCTCCGTAAAGCCAAATTTCCTTATTGTGTACAAATAAGACACTTGGGAATCCCCTGCAAAAGAAAAAAATAGAATTTTGATTAACAATGACATAGCGTTCAGGGTCATCCTTGATGTTTTAGTACGTTCTTTACTCAACCCGGCAGAAATAGGCAGGGTGGTGGTACCTACCCGTGCGGACTCACAAGAGGTCCTACCACCAGTAATTACGCAAATTATAATTTTAAAATTGTAGTGTTTGGAAGCATCAGCGATGTCTTTGTTTTTAATTGCTTAGATAGGTGGACGAGCCCACTGATGTTAAGTGGTTAAGGGATTCCATAGACATCAACAACCTAAATGCGCCACCCGATTTGAGACATGAGTTCAAGTATCAGTTTTACAGTACAATAAATACCACCCCCACTGTCACCCCCTTCAAACCGGAACAAATTACTGGTACACGGCAGAAATAGCCGGGGTGGTGACACTTCAAGACGTCCTGCCAAAAGCATAAATATCATTAGAAACTGTTCTCTTACACGAGGTGACCCGGTTAATATCATTTAATCTATTATGAAACTATAACAAATGTCTGTCCGCAAAATAAAAGTATTTAATAAAAATATTACTAAGTGTTACCTGACCCCATTTTTAATTAAACATTTATTTGTTTGTCTGTATTTATATTTACTTATCAACGTACGTATTGGTATCTCGCGTTTTGACTAGAGCCGGAGATTTTACTAGAAGAATAAAATTGTATATTTTCACCATCAATTGGTTATGGTCCAGCCCTAACTCACGTGTTAAGTACCGAAATTACGTATAATAATAATAAAAAGTATAATCCTGGCACATTAATCATAATAATCTGACATATATAGCTTACGGGTAGGTACCACCACCCTGCCTATTTCTGCCGGGAAGCAGTAATACGTTTCGGTTTGAAGGGTGGGGCAGCCGTTGTACTATAAAATTGAGACTAACCTCCGTATCTTGAGTCGTTCACTCGATTTACCTCGACTCGACTCATCCTCCAACGCACGTTTTGGTACGCTTGATCGTAAAAATAAATTCCACTCAAGCGTCTTTCGAAAACATTCCTCAACGGAGTGGAACGGAGAACGAAAAAGTAGTTATTTTATTTATTTATTTTATTTATACTTATTGTACACAAAAAGAAAATACAATAAGAACATATTTAAAGAATGTCTAAATACTATGTGCAAAGGCGAGGTTAACTCATTCAAAAAGTAGTTATATTATAGTTATGTATTTTGAAAATATAAGAAAACATTGTTAAGCTTGTATTTCTATCAAAAAATCGTTGTCAAATTGGTTATTAGAGCTGCTTAGTCTTTTTTTTTATTTTGTTCATAAGGGCATACACATTTAACAAAACATTTCGTGGTTATTAGCAAATGCTACACGATATGTTACATAAAATTCGTAGGCACTGTGTCAATGGCGGCACGTGTCTCCGCGGTCACGGACATTACGTGTAGAAATCTATTACATGTAACAAAGCACGATTTTCGTCTGTGCGTTTATGTATTATGTTACCATCCACAAAAATTGGGTTCATTTGAATTTACTTTTTAACGATTTATTGTGACAGTTTTTTTATATCATGTATCGTATTGTATCATGGAGTTGATTATTAATTTTGTATTTCGAAATAGCTGGCGAATTCAATCATGATCGAAAAAAAAAACAAATAAAAAAATCATAGTCTAAACCTGGTTTATTAGCTACAACATTAATGTCTCCTTGGGTCAATACGGTTGATGAATACAGTTGACTTCTACGGTGAAGGAATAACATTGTGTAATAAAAATCAAACCCGCAAAATTATAATTTGCGTAATTACTGGTGGTAAGACCTCTTGTGAGTCCGCACGGGTAGGTACCACCGCCTTGCCTATTTCTGTCGTGAAGCAGTAATGCGTTTTGGTTTGAAGGGTGGGGCAGCCAATGTAACTATACTGAGACCTTAGAACTTATATCTCAAGGTGCCTGGCGCATTTACGTTGTAGATGTCTATGAGCTCCAGTAACCGCTTAACACCAGGCGGGCTGTGAGTTCTTCCACACATCTAGGCAATAAAAAAAAAGAATAAAAAAAGTTAATTATAAAATGTATCCAAAGTCAAGGTCTCATGCTTGTTTCTAATAAAATTATAATAATATAAACTTTCATGACTTTTGTATGAACGAGTAACTTTTGATTCAATTACACGTGAAAACATTTTCTTAATTATTAACATGAGCAGTTGTTCAAGCGCGAAATTAAGGGCTTAAATATATGTAGAATATAGACCAAATCGGGAATTCAGAACGGCAATAGCATACATATTTGGTAGACGACGGAATTTTGTAGTATTAAGAGATTTTCTAACTCTGAATGAGATATAATAATGTCTCCGAAACTCTATTGGGCTTAGTAATAAGCGAGTAGATACTAATAAAATAATGTTTGATCTCTAATGACGTCTAATGACGTAACGCGATTGTTAATACAATCAATGTGATCAAAAATCGTATTGTAAGTAAGAATTACCAACGACACTTTTATTAGTATGGTCTTATGTTGACAGAGAAGCAAACCGTTGCCACATACCACACCATTGCTACCTTACTACGTCCTATCAGCGATCCACAGTGGGTTTTAGCCTCTGACAATAGAAAGCGCCTCTGGCCATATGATGATACTCTTTATCGACACGTGATATCTACTGCTGCAAATATTTAGACAAAAAAAATAGTCTTATGGATGTTGAGTACAGTTAAACTTAGATGTGACTTACTCGAATTTGTTAGCACTCGATTGAGAGATATTCTTGAAATTGCTAGATCTACATTTTATTGAAAGACCCGCAAAAATGCCAGTAAGTATTGCTTTAGTCAAATCTTAGCGAAACAAAACGCGTTTTAAAACAATCTAGAAAATACGGCGTGACGATAATGGAGGACCAAGACGATAATGTAAACAGACATATTTTTTTTAGAAATGTATTCTTCAAGTTTTTCCCTACCAGTATTTTTACTTCATTTTATTTAAACTAGAGGTCCCGCAGTAGTCGAAATTCGACTATAATTAATTGGAATTGTAAGTTTGTACACTATTTTAATTGTATTTTATACTTCTATAATCACAAATTTCGCCAAGGCTACACTATAAAAAAATATTAATAAAGACAAACAATATTTAATCTATTCTCAATTTGACCACAGACGTCAAGAACAAAAGCTTGACTTAAATAGTATGCATGCGTGTGTGCGTCAAATACATTGTATGTAGTGTGTGTAATGTTTTCTTTATTGATTTAATACTATCTTTTATGCATTATTTTAAAGAAATATTAGCATTGTGCATTTCTTCTCTATATTCTCTTTAAGTGTGGCAAATTTCATACTCCTCCGTCCGCGCAATTTTCGTAAAAAGGGATACAAAGTTTTTGCTTCACGTATTAATATTTTATTTACAATAATCTAATGTAAATATTTTCAATGGGCTGCATGTAGTGCTGATTCGATATTAACTTGTATGTTTATTTACAAGTCAAGTGCCTACCACTGTATTTACTTGTAATGTTTCGTACTTTTAACGAATTTTGCATTGAAATTTATTTAATAATTGTAATTCATTGAAATAACTAATTTGTACTATTCTAATGCCTATTCCTGTTTCTGCTGTGAAGCAGTAATGCGGTAATTCTTTCTTTCGGTCTGCGGTCTTTTCCGGGATTATAGAAGTTTATTTACTAAATGTATGTGTATAATAAAAATCTTACATTTATTTCCGTTATCTGGTACCTGTAATACAAGTTATTTACGAACTAAGCACGGGAAGAGTTAACGTGGCGTGAAAGTTTAAAAAAAAAAAAATTGTAAACAAAGTTTTTAATTCGTTTTTTAGCTTTTTAGATTTTTAAAATGAATTTGAATAAGACTTCGTTTTAATTTTCGTAATATCCTCGTCGTTCCTAATTATGAGGTGTTGTGTAACCAACCGTGGCGCCAATTTTAGGGTTCAACGGAATCGACTTCGATCGATAGTAAATTGAGTGAGTATCTATTTGATATTAGAGTTCGGAATTTTGTAATAGCTTTTCATTTTAGAATTCCATATAATCCGATATGCCTGTAAATGGAGTCGAATGAACGAATGCTCTTTTTTTAAAATTATTTTACATTTACCTGGTTATTTACTATTATTCAAATGACACAATAAAATGAATAAACGTGCCCAATCGTTGTACTTACGGTTTTGTTTTTATGAGACGGGCGTGACACAGTCGAACCACGACCGTGTTATCATTTTACATAGTTTTCTATAATCGCTTTGTAGCTAAACTAACTTCTCGGAAAACATAGGTAAATTAAAACAGACAAATGAGATAGAAAATAAATGTTTGTTATTGTATCCTAGAGCTACTTTTGTTTTTTATTGCCCTATGTAGACAGACGAGCATACGGCCCACCTGATGGTAAGTGATTACGTTCGCCCATGGACAGCAATGCCAGGGACAGAGCCAAACCGCTGCTTACCGAAAATTTGGATGAACTGGATGGTATTTTAGCTGTTGTATATATGTAACCTTTATAAGCTTAGTTTGTATATATGTATATTTGTCTACAACGGAATCTTTGATCGTACTTATCCGATTCCGAGGTGTCCTATAACCTAAAAATTTGCACACACATCAGGATCGATGATGATGCAATAACATAACTTCTCTCTAATAATTCTGACCAGTTTTAATAGGTAAAAAAGTGGAATGAATTATTAGTTTGGAATGCTGTTTAAGCCTGTTTTTTTAAGATTTTACAACAAAAAACACGTGAACACATTTGACGATTTCTCTACCATCGTCGAAGCTTATCTGTACACTTTATACAATAGTTTCATTACTTCGCATGCAATAATTTTAATACAGCTTAGCGAAACGAGGTAGGTCGGGTTTTAAAACCATTTACTTCCCATCGATTGATAAATAAAAGCTTGTCAAAAACTCGTATTGAATCTCTGGCAAACGTCTCTGTTATTAAAATAACAACCAGAAAAAAAACTTGTGGTAACTCTTTCTAGGCCTGGTATAAAATTTATTTATTTATTTATTTACTTATTAAGTCGCACCAACAAAGTGATCATCAATACAAAACATTGACAAATTGACAAAAGTTCATGGCAGATGTCACCTCAATTATAAGTGCAATCGACAGTGCATTAACATCAAAAATAAAAAAAAATATACAGCTAAGATTTGAATACATTTATATTTAAATTTAAAATTTAAATATAAATTCTAAATAGCTGTGTTCCCGGACACAAGTGGAAAAAAGTAAAAATAACACTCTTTAATACTATATTACGTAATAACTGTCTATGGGACTGGCTAATCGTTTGCCTAACCGAGAGGATAACGGGAAATATCGACGGGTTCAGTCCCCCTTTAAAACACTACTAGTTTCCCAAGCTAACATCTTTATAAGTTTGTTTACAATCAACTTTATTTTCTTGGTAATCATGGCTAACTTAAGATTTTTCTGGAAACAAACATTCTATTTATCTTGACGTATTATCAAATGTTCTTCATAAATATATTATTCTATGTTTTAATGTGATTCTGTTTTGATATGTAACATGGATGTGTTTTATTAATTAAGATGGGTAATCGAGTAGGGAGTGCTCTGAGGAATTGTTCGAGATGATACGGTCATCTTGTTTTTACTATCGCACCGCCCGCCACCGGAGTAGAGTTCATCCATACTACCTGGAGCCACTGCGTTCATCCACAGTGCGTTTCTCGAGGTATTTTTTGCCACGTACCATCCGGCTATGGAATGAGCTCCCCTCCACGGTGTTTCCCGAGTGCTATGACATGTTCTTCTTCAAACGAGGCTTGTGGAGAGTATTAAGCGGTAGGCAGCGGCTTGGCTCTGCCCCTGGCATTGCTGAAGTCCATGGGCGACGGTAACCACTCACCATCGTGTAAACATGTTTATTTATCTTAGTACATAAACGAGGTCATCGCCTGCTTGCTGTTGATGTTTCAAATACTTGTTAATTTCGAATTTCAAAATTTAATTCTATTTTCTTTATAAAGAGATACCAAATATGCCATACGTGCATAGGAAGTTCTAGAATACGTAATGACCGATAGTTATTGAAGTCAAGGATTACGTGTTAACTCTTGTTATTCCTGTTCGACAGGTTAAATACAAAACGAATTTCCACATACATTTCCCTTAGCGAACGTTGTTAAGTACTTAATTTATCGGCGAATTTATCGGCGAATTATTTACAATATTTTCTAATATATCAACGTTATCTATATTATCAGATACATTAAACGAAATTAAAATATCTGGATTGTTCTATTAGACTCATCATTCTATAATTAATTTTGTATTTTTTTAACAGATTTGTCTTTATATTTTTCTACATGAGAGGTATAAGGCGAATTTGCCTTTACTATCTCTATATATAAAAATGAATTGCTGTTCGTTAGTCTCGCTAAAACTCGAGAACGGCTGAACCGATTTGGCTAATTTTGGTCTTGAATTATTTATGGAAGTCCAGAGAAGGTTTAAAAGGTAAATATGAAAATGCTCGGAATTAAATAAAAATAACAATTTTGTTTTTCCTTTGATGTGTCCCCCATCGGTCTTCTATTTATCAATTGAGGCACTACGAAGTCTGCCGGGTCAGCTAGTATATAATACAAATGACATATTCTCAGACCGACTAACTTAATGGTGCAGTAATTCGTGCTCCTGATTTCTTGGCTGACGGTCGTGGGTTCAATTCACATAATATCTATATGTGTATCTATTTCATCGTATATAAGTATGTATATCAGTCTCTGATTCCCACAGTACACAGAAACCTAGTTTAGGGCCCAATGATCGTATGTGACTTGCGCCATGGTTATTATTATTATTAACGCGCAGAGGAAAAAAATTGCAAGGAAAATAAAATTTTTGGACATTATAGATAGTATATTTTAATATAAGATTAAAATCAAACAAGATTTGAAATTCTGATTTAAAAAAAAAAAAACGTAGGATCCTCATTGATTGATGCCTTTAGTGTTAAGATATTTTCATTTAAATCTTAGAACGGCGAAATACATACGTATGATAATATTACACTGAGAGTGTGTGTGATTTTATATATGCTTGTATATTAATAAAATAATTACGCTATGTATAAAATTTATTACGGCATGAAAATAAAGTCATCAAGTTCAAGTGTTATCAAAACATCGAAATCAAATTCAGACGAAGAGTTTGCATTATAGTTGTATCATTATTAATACACAATATATTGTGTGTTGTGATTGTTATTTTATATTACTGTAATTGAATAAATGTGGGAAAGAGTGACTAATAGTTTGTGACTTCAAAAAACGAATGAGGAGGCTCGCATTGGGCTGTGTTTTCACCTGTTAATATATCTTCAATGAATACATTACATTAGAATATATTAACATCTACATTCGATAACGATCTAGTGATAGGTATCTATCTCTATTGAAGACAATTTATTTTTCAGCAAGTCTTATTGATTTCATAAATTAAATTGTGTAAGAATAAGCAGGAAAGAAACAGTGTAAAGCCGCAAAATGATTATATAACAATTCGAGGTTAGTTTGGACAAAAAATTTATTAAATGCATAAATAATTATGTAGCTTCCGTATTAAGCAAATACATTATATTTACAGCTATTGTTTGACGTAGCATCATTTCAAACAGAGAATAAGAATTTTCTTATATTATTATCTATATATTAATACGTGAAGTCAAAACTTTGTATCCCTTTTTACAAAAATTGCGCGGACGGAGGAGTATGAAATTTTCCACATTTATAGAGAACATAGAGAAGAAGTGCACAATGCTAATATATTTTTTTAAATAATGCATAAAAGATACATTAAATCAATAAAGTAAGCATAACACACACTACATACCATGTATTTGACGCACACACGCATGCATACTATTTATTGTCAAACTTTTGTTCTTGACGTCTGTGGTCAAATTGAGAATAGATTAAATATTGTTTGTCTTTATTAATATTTTTTATAGAGTAGCCTTGGCTAAATTTGTGATTATAGAAGTATAAAATACAATCATAATAGTGTACAAACTACAATTCCAATTAATTATAGTCGAATTTCGAATACTGCAGGACCTCTAGTAAATATTAAAATAAATATAATATCCTTCAACAAATAAACAACGAAAACTAATGATTATGTAACTATATAATTATTGAGAGAATAATAGTTATCGTGCACGATAATCATTAAATCGGCTCTGTTTATACGTCTCTATCTTAACAGACGCGCTTACACCATATTTTGTCACTTTCAATCATGATTGAAACAGGCTCCCAACATAAAAGACAACACAGTATAATTATTGAAAGTTTTATTACGTTTATAAATAAAGCTATAGGTAAAGGTGCCACAATTTTGTTTGTCTGTTTAAGTGCAGTAAAAATCTGTTACGAATTAAATGAACTTTGAAATAAAGGATCTGAGAAATATTCAAATTTTACTCGCCATCAGTCGTAAGTATTTATGAGAAAACTCAGAATTGTGTATCCGTGATTTGAGAACATAAAACATTATCCTTACAACCGGTTAGCATTAAATACTGATTGCCAATATATATTTAACGAATCGAAAGGTGTGGTGTATGTATACACTTTATTGTAGGCTTAAGCCAGTTAATTTCAACTCGTTATGATTACCTTGAAGAAAAATTAAGTAGTACTTTATGATCAAGAGAATAAGATTGATTATTTAATATTATTTAATAAAAGTTACACCGTTTTACAATTTTCAATCGCGGGGTAAAACGTCGTTATTTTAAATAAATAAAAAATGAAGTACAGAATTATTAATAATTTACCCGAAATATTTTAGAGATTTACATTTAGGATTTTTTACATTTCATTCCGTGATAAAGGTGATACAAGTTAGTTAAACAAATAAAAGAATCATGTACAAAATTAATCCATCAAATTTATATAGAACATCACAAGTATCTTTCATAGTTTATTTCAATAAGTAAAAACCAGTTTTGCACACGGAACAAAATATTGAAGATTTGGAAAAAAAAATAGATTGAGCGGGCAATAAACTTTAAAGATCGTCATTTGGTATTTACGTTTTAAAAGGACGATATTTTTTTCAATTTAATGTTCACCTAACCGAAAATAAAAAACACTTACCGTACAGAGGTCCAACCATCAGCAAATATAGTGCTAAAATGCAAAATATTTGTGTTCTGCCTTGAAACGCGCGAGGCTTCAATGCGACCATCACTGTGTTTGCAACTAATTGACAGACCTCACGCAACATTTTCAATCTCTTGTTCTGCATCGTGTACCTAGTAATGCTACTAGCGCTTTCTTCGATTGGTAATACATCTTCGAGACGTATTAATCCGTACAAGAACGATAAAAAATACAGGACGAGTAACAATGAGAACACTCCATAGTAACCCAGAGCACGTAATAATATGCCGCTGAGGGCAGTGCCGGTCGGTGTCCCCAACGTGACGCATATCGTGACAAGCCCCAACCTAAACGTTCTGCTCTCGACCGTGGTTCTGTCTGCCATGAAACTGTACATGCCCATAAATATAATCACATAGCTTCCAGTAAACGCCGCGGGTAACGCTTCAATCAGCGCTGTCGCCGTCAGCGACAGCTCTTGGAAATAATACGTGGCGAACAGAAGTCCTGTATTTGAAAGTATCTCGCCGATGAAAGGGAATACAATACATATTTTTCTCTTTTTGTATTTATCACTCCAGGCTCCGACGAATATCACCATGATGGCGGGAATTATGGTTTGAAGAGGAAACTTCCAAGCGACGACTTTGGCGACTAATGATTGAACGTTGTTCACTTCTTCGTCGAGTCCTGTTGTGTTCCTTAATCTCAAACGGTCACAGATATCGTCGCCGTAATTAAAATTGACTCTGCAAGCCTTTTCCAGGTGCATACTTTGTACCGCCAGACTTGAAATAGACGTGCACATCATGTACATAAAAAGGCAGGGCTCTACTGTCGTTTCTCGAAGTACGTATTTTATTTGTTTCAAAATTATTTTCGATTTTTCTCTCCATGTTCCGCCGGAGGTTCCGGTGAGCAGTGTATTCGAATTGGCTAGCTCATTGACGCTAGAATTGTTTTCAGTGCTCGTCAACATGTTCGTGCCAGTGAAAGTAAGAGTTAGTAAAAGTAACATAAAACGTGATAAAGAATATTTACTTCACACACAACACTGCGTCTGCGGCGCCCGCGTCACCCGCACTTGACTATACGGTTAATCCGTGACTTTTCGACTGTCGTTTCTAAAAACTTGAGCAGTAAATGTCAGGAATTAAGCGCGATATGGGTGTGCGGCGGTGCATACGAGTCGCTCGCATCTCGACTGCTACGATAATACAGGTCTCACTATCGACGACACCACTTTTAATAAATATGTAACTAATTTATCTTCTTACACTTCGAGTTACGCATCAGCCAACATTGTTCTTCGGCGGACGTTCGTGTACTTCGTGTNAAAAACTTGAGCAGTAAATGTCAGGAATTAAGCGCGATATGGGTGTGCGGCGGTGCATACGAGTCGCTCGCATCTCGACTGCTACGATAATACAGGTCTCACTATCGACGACACCACTTTTAATAAATATGTAACTAATTTATCTTCTTACACTTCGAGTTACGCATCAGCCAACATTGTTCTTCGGCGGACGTTCGTGTACTTCGTGTAATGTTTTCGTCTTAAATGACAAATAGTTAGCACTTGTACAAACATTCGTACCGAATCGGAGTGCTTTGTTAAAAATGTTTGTTAACAAATCCTTTGTTATCAGGAATCATTATGTAGGATAAGAATGTCACGTCATTTCTCTTTATTTATTAATGTTATTGCACTCAATAAAGGAAAACAAACAAGTATCGTAAAAAATTTTGACCTTGGTAATAACCGCGATTTCATTTTCTTTAATAATTTTCTTAAACAAAATCAGAACTAGCCAAACGTCTTGCCGTGGGCTATCTATAGCAGACGGGGAATTTTTGGATTTTTGTAAACATAGGAAACTTTCTCCTTAAATATCAAAGCCTGTTTGACGCCCACACTAAAGACGAAATACGCTATACAATTGTGTTATCTCACATGTCATTGCATTATATCGTTGTCGTATTTTAAAACGAGTTGAAATAGAAGCTTTCAGCTTCTAAATCGAGGCGTTCCGTACATAAATATCTTTAAATTAATACGTGAAGCAAAAACTTTGTACCCCTTTCTACGAAAATTGGGCGGACGGAGGAGTATAAAGTTTCCTATTTATAGAGAATAAAGAGAAGGAGTGCAGAATGATAATATTTTTTAAAAAATATGCATTAATAATACATTAAATAAATAAATAAAACATTACACACACTTCCATGTATTCGACATACACACACATGCATACTATTATGTTTATTGTCAAACTTTTGTTATTGCTTATAGTCTATGGTCAAATTGAGAATAGGTTAATATTATTTATCTTTATATTTGTCTATAGTATAGTCTTGCCGAAATCTGTGATTAAAAAAGTATAATAAATTTTTGGCAATAGAACCACAATAATGTTCATCAAACTTATGATTTCAATTAATTATACTCGAAATTCGACTACTACGGGACCACTAGTTTTAAGAAACATTTGTTTAGTCCACATCGAGTTTTTGTGAGTTCACCCCAGGGTGCGATAAGGGACTCGATGGTGTTATCCCCTATCTATTGCTTCGGCAATAAAAACCGGATCTAGTTTTATCTCTCTCACGAATATATTAATTAAATGACACAAAATTAAGTATCTCCTAAAATGAAACCAAAATAAATCCATTTGTAGTAGTCCATAGGTATTTATTAAGCATTATAACAAAAATATGTACATGCATATTTTCCTTCGTTCCATTTTGTATTTAGTTTATAAAAGTACCGTTTACAAATTTGAAAATTTTGCGATACTTTACTTCAAAATAGTAGTAGTTAACGTCATACAAAATCACTGGATGCCCAAAAAATAAAGGCCCAGATGTTTACAAATTTCAACGCTTTGCATCACAGGGATTAAACAAACAAACTATCAGTCGTTTTAAAGCTATTGCGTAGATTTTATCGCGGGCTTTGAGCGCGGCGACTAAATCAAGAAATTCCGTAACGAAACTAACATGACACCCCCACTACGCCTACTATGTAGCTCGCGTTCAACACATTCACAAGTTGCGCTTGTGTAGTGTTTGTGAATAAGCGCGTGGCGTGACGTCACACTGCATGCGCATCATAAAAAGTCTGCCCATCTCTCTCTCGCGCGGTCTAGCTTATGAGTGTGTAGGGGACAGGTAATGTTTTGCTTTTATTAATGTTTAATATAGCGTGGTCTTGTTTTATTTTTGTTTTAATATTAAATTACCATTGTCTAATTATAGTTGCATAAGTTGATAAAAAATGCTATGCAATAGCTTTACCGCGGCAGTTCCCAAGTGCCACACGTTTTTTAAAAATATTTTTGTAGTATCGCTAGTCCCCTGTCATATTATAAACAGGCGGAAAGGGTCCTAATTCTAAACGTTTCCTTTGCTCGCCTTTACCTACAACAGGTAGAAGAAACAGTGGGGTTAGTTTTTATGTTCGTGTCTACGGTACTTACTATGTTACCGTTATGAGTCTCTGAGCCTTTGCGACGCACTCGCCTTCACAGGTACAATGCCGGAAATATACAGATAACAGAATTACTTAATTAAGGCATTATAATTTGCAAGCTATCTGTTATTGTTCTGAAAATTGTACGTGCTTATAATAATGAAACGAAAAGGCAGATTACGATAGAAGTTTTAATTTTTTTAGGAATGAAGGATTAATTAGTGCTCGGTAGGAGAGTTTGCAGGCATTAAAACTATGTAGCTAGAATAGCCAGGCTAACAGTGATTAGGGTAGGCAAAAAAAAAGACTTTAGAATTGAAACCTTCAAAGGTATTTTATGTCATTCTCTCGTAGTCTTCATCCTATAGATATATATTTGTCTCTTTTAGTGTCGCTTTTTCGTTTCCTCAAAATTCAAATAAGAAAAAGCTAAATTCAAAAATGTAATATTTTAAAGAGCACTTTGTTAATTTTTTCTGTGATGTTTATTGCTCATTTCGACGAGGCTACCTTGCTCTCACTAGTGTCATCCTTGTTTTATGATAATAAACTAGTTTGGCTGGCTAATAAAATTCAGTTTTAAATTTGTTTATCGTAAAATTTCTCAAATTTGTTTTATTAATTTCTTCCTGCTCCTACTGCTCGGTCATTTAGACTTCATCGAGGATCTCCCTACACTGTCGGTCGACTATCTTTCTCTATTGACATTAGTCACCGGTCTTGTTTATAATACGTATGAATTTTGATGATGTTTTCTAGCTAAGAATTGCTTTGGTTATGTTTTATATCAAGACGCTACGACTTAGTTTAATAGAAAAATTTTCAATAATGATTTTTGTTGTATAAAAATTCCAGACCGCTTGCTTACTAGCAATTAAAATAGAAACAAAATTTTTATTGCCTTCATTTTTATTTCTCAAATTTCACTTCACAAACAATTAGCAACATAGCCCGGGTTAGGTAGATGCCCACAGGAATTTCACTAATAGGAATGAAACCTGGGAAAGGCTGTTTATTTTTTCTAAAATTTCATTGCAGTCACAGTGAAATGTTATTTGTAATTACAAATTCTGATGTAGAGAGATTCTGAGAAAAATAAATATATTAAATCGACAAGTTTTTGAAGATTCAAATATATTGAAATTGTTTCAAAGTATAATTGCTCCGAAGAATACTCCAGGCACTTTAAATCAGTTCATGAATATTGATTCGAAGCGATCGAGTGCCTACATACATAATATTTTTGAAGTTCCAAAGATATGGAATCCTATAATATCACTATTTATTTATTTATTGCTTAGATGGGTGTACGAGCTCACAGCCCTCCTATTGTTAAGTGGTTACTGGAGCCCATAGACATCTACAATGAAAATTCTCCACCCACCTTGAGTTCTAAGGTTATAGTTACAACGGCTGCCGCGCCCTTCAAACCGAAACGCATTACTGCTTCACGGCAGAAATGGGCAGGGTGGTGGTACCCGTGTAGACTCACAAGATGCCCTAGCATCAGTAATGAAACATAACATGATGATATCTTCTATCAAAAACAAAGATGATACACTTGATCAAAAATACTTTTACATATCCTTAATAATATGTCTATTGAATACGTCCGCACCTATAATTTTCTCTGTAAAGTTGATATTTAATGCCTTCGATGAGGAATAAATGAGACTTAAAAAAAACTTAGCGACCATTAGAGGTAACTTATAAAATCCAATTAAGCTCCTTTTAATACGCACATTAAAATAGACAGGCGATCTTTTCAATGGCAAAGACATGCATTAAATGACTCTTATTTCGTGTTTATAAGTGCATTGTGTAATATAAGACTTATGTACTGACCTACCTTAGGTCACTGGAGTAGGTTTTAAAGACGTAATTTGTGGTAGGTTCTGTATTTGGTTCAACAATCAACGTTGCTAATGTTTAATTTAGATTTAAAAAAATATAGAGGTATGTAATCTGTAATCGCAATTAGATGAATCTATCTACCTAAGTTTGTATAGTTCTTTAATTTATTTATTATTTATTTATTACCTACTCTTATAAGCGGTAGGCAGCGGCTTGGCTCTGCCCCTGGCATTGCTGAAGTCCATGGGCGATGGTAACCACTCACCATCAGGCGGGCCGTATGCTCGTCTGCCTACAAAGGCAATAAAAAGAATAAAAAAAACTCTTGTAGGTAGACGAGCATACGGCGCACCCGATGGTGAGTGGTTACCGTCGCCCATGGACGCCAGCAATGCCAGGGCCAGAGCCAAGCCGCTGCCTATCATTAACTACTCTCCACAAGCCCCGTTTGGAGAAGGACAATAATTCATAGCGCTCGGGAAACACCGTAGAATGGAGCTCATTCCAAAGCTGGATGGTACGTCGCCAAAAATATCTTTGGAAACGCAGTGGTTCTAGGAAGTATGGATGAACTCTACTCGAGCGGTGGTGCCATGGTATAAACACCAATCACACACGAGCCTCACGTACACTCAAGATGACAAAAATATAAGAGAAGACTTCTTTTTTATGTCCACCTTATCCCACTAGGTAGGGTCGGCACAGTGAATTTTTCTATTCTCTTCTATTAGCCGTCATCTTAACACCCACTCCTCTCTCTCTCATATCGTCATTCACGCACTCCATCCATGTCTTCTTAGGTCGACCCCTTCCCCCTCAACCTTGCACTACGAAGAGAAGACTACGATAAAATAAATCGAGACCAAAAACATTTAAGTATGTTTTTTTTATTGCTTAGTTCGGTGAAAGAGCTGACTGCCCACCTGGTGGTTACTGGAGCCTATAGACATCTACAACGTAAATGCGCCACCCACCTTGGGATATAAGTTCT